TTTTTTTTTTTTTTTTTTCGGTCCTTGTTGATCTTTTGGTCGCACGTGCACACGCGGATTTCACATGTAAAGACTGACGGTTGAAACTTGTGTTGATTCAGGTGAAGATCCATATCTGGGTTACAGGCTTGTGCAGCCTGTGGTCAGAGGAATACAGTCACAGAAGGTTGTGGCCAATGCCAAGCATTTCATTCAGAACAACCAGGAAACAAATCGAGTTGGAGTCCCTTGATTGCACTTTTGCAGCAAGTTTTTGAGGTAGCTTTGGAAAGCCTATGATATAACCCATTATAGTAGTTTCAATTCTATTTTCCATTATCCCAATATAACTCCGATATTACCCCAATGAAGGGCCACTCTTTCGAGGTGAGCGCAGAAGTTGATGAAAGAACTCGCTTCGAAACTTGTCGCCTGCTGTCTCGCCTAGCTTCCATTTCGCGGGTGCACCTGAGCTGGGGGTCAACGTTTTATGGTTGGCAGCTGACACTCAGGAAATGTACTACCCGCCATTTGAGGGCGCTGTCCAAGCTGGGGTGGGGTCTATGATGTGTGCCATGCTCAGTGACTTTTTTGCTAGAAGTGCCTGATTCTGTTGAGTCTTACGGAGTTGAACACAAGACTGGAGCCGTGTGCCAGGCAGTTACAACAAGGTGAATGGAGATTGGAGCTGTGAGAATCCGTTCACTTTACGCGGCGATCTGAAGCAGACCCTGAACTACCAAGGCACCTTGATAATATTGATAATATTGATCATATTGGTAGTATTGATAATATTGTAATTGTAGTAACAGAAATACTAATAGTACTACTAACAATCACAGCACTAGTAGTTGTACTAATAATAACATGAGGAATGCCATCTTGGCTAACCTGGCCTTGTGCAGTTCCGCCTGTAGGCTACGTCATGTCAGACTGGGGCGCGACGCATCTGGGTTGCTGTTAAGGAACTTAAATTAAGTTACCATGATGGGTATATGGGGCTTAGGGTTTAGGGTTACCATAATGGGGATATATATAGTAAACGATATGGTTTCCCCAATATAGTTGCTAAACAGCAACCCAGGCATTCAATGTCGATCGCGGCTGGTCTCGATGTGGAGCAGCCAGGCAAGACGCTCACATGTGAGTTTTAGTCTAAATGCCTTAGAGGGGGTTATTCAGGGGATTGTATAGGGGAGTATGATAGTGGTTATTAAGGGGGATGCTGGGAGTTTAGACTACAGCCCATGTCGCCCTGTCTTGGGAGATTCGTGGCAGACATGCAGAGGAGCTTTCTGGATGAATGCTGAGCTGATCCAAGAAGCTCTGGATGCAGGGACTGTGAAGGACATTTGCAAGAGAATTCATCAATTGAGTAGATTTTATTTGGGGATACTGTGGTACCCATTATAGAGTAAGATTATATCCTCCTTCTAGGGTATAGTATATTATATATAAGGAATATTATCTTACTAGGTTCAACCACCAAAAAAAGCGCTACTCAATTATGCAGTCTGCATGGAGCATGAGCAGCATGGGTTCTAAGGTGTCTCATTGGCTTGTTTGCGCAGGAGTCTCAGGTGGATGACTCTGTGAGGCGGATCCTGCAGGCAATGTTTCAGGTCGGCGTGCCTTGGCTGATTGCTGTTTGAGAAGATCTGCGCAAGCCTGAACTTGCCTGAAAGCTTAGGTCATGGATGAGCCCCTGAGTGCCTGGGACTGGAGCAAACGCCTGAGAAATGTCACTCGGACGAATGGTCTGTTCTTGTCTGCGCTGATGTGGAGGGATTTCGTCAGAGGTCACCACCGCTGCTTCTGTAGCTTCTGCTCGAAGACTATCGGCAAAGGGCACAGTGCTGCTCAGAAATGAAGGCCACTTGTGATGTGTGCTGCTTGTCGGTCAACGATGATGTAATGCGATAGCCCTACTTATCTACAACTGACGTCTGAATGACACCCCGCAATAAATGAGTAGTATCTTATTTGGGGATACTATGGTACCCATTATATAGTAAGATTATATCCTCCTTTTGGGGTACAGTATTCTATATAAGGGATATTATCTTACTGGGTTTAACCATGCCACTGGCTCTACACTGACGATGTTGGTCTTGGTTTCAGGCAACATCTTGCCGCTGACTCGTGGCAAGCGCGTTGCCGTGATTGGCCTCGCAGACGCGAAGCCAGCACGCATTATTGAAGCGGACTTGAGTACGCAAAAACTTGTTGTAGTAATTTCCAGGACGCTTTAGCGCTACACCCTAAACCCTAAACGGTAGTTTCCATTTTCTTTTCCATTATTCCTATATAACCCCAATATTACCCCGATATAACCCAGTGTTTTTTAGTGGCTCTGCTGGCAGAGTTGGGCTTTGCAAAGCCAAAGCCCATTTCATGAACAGATAATCAAGGCAGGAGCAAAGTTGCTGAACACCCAAAGGGTTTGGGGGTTTGGGGTTTAGGGATTAGGGTTTAAGGATGAGGGTTTAGGGTTTATGGTTTAGGGTTCTAGGGTTTTGGGTTTGGTATATAGGGATAATGGAAAATGAAATGGAACGACTATAGTATGTTACATTCGCAATGGTAATTTGGTTTCCTTGGTTCCTCATTTTGGCCACAGCTAGATGTAGCCGGTTTGCGGGTCCTTAAAAGCCTTTATAATGATATGAACCTTATCTTATTATCATATAGTAGCTTCCATTTTCTTTTCCATTATCACTACATAACCCCAATATATTCCCCATAATCCTAATATAACACCAAAATCTCAAATACAACTCAAACGCCTGCAAAACCAAGGAAAGCCATTTACCATTGTATCCCTAAACCCTAACCCGTATATTATACCTTATTACAATAGTTTCCTTTGTCTTTTCCATTATCCCTATAGTAGTTGCCATTTTAAGCCTGCAAAACCAAGGAAAGCCATTTACCACGCAGGGGGATCTGGCAGCGTCCAGCCCTCCTCCGTCTCTACGCCACTACAAGGCCCAAGAGTAGTATAACCTGCTTAAAAGGGTGGTATATTCATATAAGGGGTTCTAGGGTATTGCAGGGTTCTATAGGGGTTAGGGTTCAGGGTCTAAACTCCATAAAGGGGGGGGTTTATATATATATATATGGGGTTATTAGGGGGGATACTACGATTTTAGACTATAGCTGATATAGCCATTATAGTACTTTCCATTTTCTTTTCCACTATCCTCATATAACCCCGATAGAACCCCAATATACTATACAATCTTGGACAATCCAGATTGTGCATCTGTTGTGCTAAGTGCAGGTTTTCGAGACGCTGTCGGAGATTCAGGAACCGTTGAATTCAACTGTGGAAGAGATGTCAATGCAGCAGTAGAGCTTGCCAAGCAGAGCGACTATGCTGTCATTTTTGTCGGCACGCTTTCGCGTGCTGGCCTCGGTGCTTGCTATGTTCCTAACTTGAAGAGACTTTGAAAGCTTTCTGAATTGTCATCAAGGTGAAGATTTTGACAGAAGTTCTCTGTCTTTGGATGTTGGTGTGGACTGGACTGGTCAGAACGAGGCATCGACTCCGGGTACTTGTAGTGAAGGTAATCTGGAATTGCAGTGGCCTCCTTTTGACCTATCAGAAATCGCTCAACCATGAGACGAACAACGAGAACGTACCTCCAAGAAACATATGAAGCAAGGAAAGCAAGGAGAGCCATGCTATGTCCGTAGGTTCAGCTTCGTTCAATGCGCTTCCCCTGCCAAGAGCCAAGGGCGTAACCAACCATTTTTACTCCAGTTATCCCTACATAACCCCCGTATAGCCCCTAAGCTTATTACCTTTACTCGCAGGTCATGCCAGGCCACACCCGTGGCATAAAACCACCTGTTCGCCGGAAAACAGAGCAGTTCCAATCTTTGGTAATGGTCTAGGGTTTAGGTTGGGTACTGCCCCCACCCAGTAACAGTCTATATTACATGTAACCATATTATGATTATTATCCAACTGTTACTGAGGGGGGGCAGTATCCAAGGTTTAGGGCTTAGGAGCCCTAAACCCTAAACCCTGAAACCTTAAACCCTATACCAAAGGTTGAAACTGTTCCTTTTTCCAGCAAACGGGCGACCTGGCATGGCCTGGGAGCAAATGCAACAAGATTCGGGGTGACATAGGGTCTAGGGTTTAGGGTTATGCAGGGATACTGGGAGTTAAAGCATGGATTGCATGGGTTTATAGAAGGGCTATATAGAGATACTGGAAAAATGGACACTATTACATGATCATAGGGTATACATATATACACACAGGTCTATTGGGGTTATATGGGGATAATGGAACAGAAAATGGAAACTACTTTGAAGGGTTTTGGTCTTTGGCATTCACCCTCGAATGGATCCGACGTTGGAGGTCTTGTTGTAAAGTACTTCGCACTCACGGTTCCACAGTCCGAAACAACTTCAGGCAGCATGCTGGATATTGTAGTCTCCCAAAATTAGAGGTACCTTTTTTAGGAGTACCAATGATAATGACTAAAGTATTTTGGGGTCTAAATTGGGGTCCCCTTACTTTGGGAAACTACCATTTGATGAGAATCGGTGGCAGTTTTGCTGGGCATTCGAAGTGAGGAGCTAGAGCCGAGCCTACTTTCGTAACATGCAGCGATGAGAAAGAGTTCTCAGTTTTGTTACGTTTGAGTAGATTCTGCCAAAGGCTGTCAGCGCCATTGCAGCTGCAGCTGGCGAGAAAACTGCGTCTTGTTAGCGTCAAAGTTTGCGAAAGCAATGTAGCGCGTGGCAGGCACTTGCAGACTGGTAGCTGAGGTGGTTGTGGTCACTACTCCTGGAGCAGTGCTTCTACCGTGGTCAAGGCAGGTTGCGGTGGCTCGGACGAAGACAGGCAATCTTGTGGAGATTTCTCCGGAAAGAAGAAACGAAGTGTTTTGCCTTTTCTTTCAAAAGCACGGGTCCGGGGGCACTGTCACTTCCGCTACAAATCAATCTGAGAAGGGGCACCATCTTGCTCCCATTCAATGGGAATTGACGGGAGTAGTTCAGTCTCAGTTTAGGTTGTAGAGAACTGGAAGTGTTGAGTCCTCGGGAATAAATCCTGGCATTCATATTTGAACTATCAAGCAAATATCTTTCTGGCCTCATCATATTTCCTTCACGGAAGTTTTATCGGCAGAAAAAAAAAGTATGCAATTGGGCCTGCCCAAAGCAAATATGGTGTATTGAGCAGTTTTGGAAAACTTCAATTGATTGGGACCCGGACGCAGGATCTTGTTTCTGTACTTGGGTTCCCGAGTAATGCGGGTCTGTCGGCAAGTTTTTTCAGTTGGGAACAGAAATTCTTGCAAACTCCTTCCTTCCATTTAGATGTTCTTATATCGTCGCAAATCGGGGAATTGGCCCACAATATTTGGCCCTGCAATTCCTGCCACAGGCAATCATAACCAACTTCATGCCGGGTCAGCAAGCTGGCAATGCCGTTGCTGATATCTTGTTCGGCAATGTCAATCCTTCTGGCAAGCTGCCCGTGACGTTTCCAAATCGCAGCTGGTCCTGGTGTATGCAGAGTCGTTCAAGCAGGAGTGAAAAGCCGGAAACAATTCAAGTTGATGACGTAATTGGGAACATGCTGTTACACATGATAGTAGTACTAGTGGTAATCATAACAAGAGTAGTAAGAATAATAACTGTATGAATATTACTAGTAATCAGAATAATAGCACCCTTAGTACTGCTCCATGCTGGAAAGCCAAGGTGACAACGAGACTGAGTTTTCACCCGCGCAGTATCCAGGCATTCCTGATCCAAAAGCTCCAGCTTACGCATTCTACACGGACACGCCTGCTTGATGTTGTTAATTTGAGTTTGAAGCAGATTCTTGTCATGCATGTGTGGATGATCTTCAAGTGGCAGGAGAAGCTGCAAATTGGATACAGGTTCTACGAAACACACCGATTGCAGTTCCAGACAGGCCCTCTAGATGCATCTTTAGGAAGTGTGGCTCCAAAACCGCACAGACCCAGACCCCCTAAAGGACCCAAAAATGGAACCCCCCAACATGAACCCATCATTACATTGGGGAATCCAGTGGATTATTATGGGGTCCATTTTGTGGATCCTGTAGGGGGTCTGGGGAGTGTTGACAACGGACTGGTAAGTGCCTCATACCTTCTTTGTGGCTTCTGGATCAGCAGGCTTTCCTTTTGGACATGGGCTCTCCTACACAAGTTTTGCGCAGCTTGGACGGTGAGGATGGCATACCCGCTGTTTCCAAAATATGTACCCAATATACTATAGCAGTTTCCATTTTCTTTTCCATTATCTCTATATACCCCCAATATACACCCTATAACCCCTATAGGGATTACATAGGGTGGTGTTCCCTTGTTCACAGCATCTTGAGAAGTCGCCAAAGGTACAGCAATTTGGAAATTCGGGACGATTTTCGTGGAGGCCAGTCACTACAAAGATGCCTGCACTGATTCTAGTACTCAGTGGAGCAGCTCCTCAAAAGCATTGCAGGCAAAACGGTGGCCTTCGTTGTTAAGAACACCGGGGGACGCCCTGGAGCAGAGGCAAGAGTCCTCCTCATTGTGCAGCAGTCGGTAACGATACATGGTAGGTTCCCTAAACAAGGGGACCCCAATATGAACCCCAAAATACTGTAGTCCTTATTATAGGGAACCCAAAAAGGTACCCCTAATTTT